TTTTTTTTATCTCAATTGTCTCTTCTAGCCCTTTTTGAACGAACCGACATCTAACCTTAAGGCAGCAGTGACTTTGGCGGCCGCTCTTCAGAGAGGCAAGTCACTTTGTTTCAATATGAAATTGTCATTAAGCATTGTAACTTTTTCTCTGACGCAAGAACTTGTCTTGCTTGAACCCGGCCACACCCTGCTAGTCTCACCGCTACCTGTCCATGACTACTTATTTGTCGCAGCTAACCTCCATATCTCAAGCTCGTTCCCATAACCGCAACAGAGGGACGCATCAGGTGACCAGTGACTAAACACATTGAATATATATATGTATTCTGTCGTAAATATCACTGTTTATTACTTGATCTTCATCGCTGAAATTTCATTTTGTAGCGGCTTTTACTTGAAGGTGGATTCGTATTCAGTGGTTCAATGTTCGCTCTGTGGGATCTTGGAGATAACCTGCCTTGGCGGCGACGAAACGCGAAGCGGATAATTGTGTTGGAATGGTTCACTGTTCCTTGTTTGGCCGTAGCTCTAGCCTGTACCATCTCTCATCCATTTGATGTTCTTCGAAGGAAGATCATGGTGAGTTTTTCCTCATAGTTTCCGCGCTGTGTATGCAAGCTTATGTTGAAGACTAGCTAACTGCTTCTTAAGGTCATACTCACAATATGTCACGGATAGCTGGAAGACGATATTTCTTCTGGTTCTTTGTTTAGCTACTCTAAAGTCAAAAAATTGATTTTAACACTAGTTTTATACAGTATTGATGCTCACGCGATGATGTTAGTTTCTTCCTCAAGATCGATTAAGGTGTCAGAGTATTTTTAGTATTTCTTTAGCTTGCTCAAATATACTGTTTCTGGAAAGTGTTAGATCTCAAGAGCAGGACTGTATGCATAAACCTGTTCTCCGTCCTTTGCTGCGCTTTTTTACCATAAGATTTTTTTGGTATTTCATGTTTAAAACCGAAACTTGCCAGAGTTTTCAAGGCAGCATACTAGTATAAGAAAGAAATAGGTTTTTCAGCCTGCCACAGTGCTATGAACGATTTGGCCTGTGTAAATGAATACAAATTTGATTGCAACCAATTTTAAGCATGCAGATCGTCAGAATCTCAGCTCTTGTCGTCGATGACAAAAGAAGTAAGATGTTTTGTTTCTAAGATCTAGGTCTTCTTAATGTCAACTGACAAAGGATTTAGACCTTAAGAACAAAACATCTTTCTCCATAACTTCGATTCTTAAACTGCTCAGAATATGTCTCATTGGTTCCAATTATATCGTTAGTACGAAGCAATCCCCATGTGGATTGCCTCTGTCGCCTGCTCTGGTTGATATGTTTATGTCATTTTTAGAACACTTGGCCTTCACTACGGGTAACAAAGATGCCTATCCAACCTTGTTCACATGATATATTGATGACATATTTGCCATCTGTAAAAATGGAACCGAGGCGCGTTTTTAAAACATCTAAACAGCCTATTCCAAAGCCTCATCGTTTTCACTACGAAAAAAGAAGAAAGCGGCACTCTACTCTTCTTGAATGTGCCAGTAAGGCACCACCTGTAGAGATATTTGATCACGGTGTTTCGCAAGAAGACGCATACTGTTAAGTATCGACATCTCTTCTTATCATCCAGATTGCGTAAAGAAAGGTGTCGTCAATACACTTCGCTAAAGAGAACCGAAGATATGCACAACAGATGATGATTTTTGCCAAGAAGTAAATCACATCAAATCGAGGCTAAAAAGGACGGCTATCTGATGAAGACTTTTAACGAAGGCTTGGTAAGCTTATCAAAACAAAGAGTGTCTCGCCGCTCATCTGAAAACAACGTTTACTGTTCCTTGCCATACGTTCGCCAACTGAGTGAAAAGCTGCGACGTATTGAATCTGCATCCGGACTCAACGTGGTATTCAAACCTGGTGCTACTCTGCGTAGCCGACTAAGCCACCTCAAGACCCAGCTCCCGTGCTCCTGTAGTGCGGTTTACATAAGCGAAACGGGTAACATGGTTGAAGAAAGGAAGACAAACCACAGGAGGCATTTGATCAGGTGGAAGAACGCTGGTGCTAGAGAAAGTGGTCAACAGCAAGTCGGCAGAGGTCAGAGACAGCCGAAAAACCTTAGACTTATAAAGGCAGAATGCGAGAACAATTCTGCCATTGTGGAACATGCTGTTACCCACCAACACAGCATATAGTGGGAAAGAATGACAGGTGTCGCACGGGAACAACAATATCTGTCCCGCAAGGTCAAAGAAGCGTTATTGATCAGAGCAACAAACTGCATCAGTCGTGACCTTGGAGCAGACGTTAGCGACACATGGACTGCAAACATCAGGTGGCAGATTAAGACTAGCAAACAAAGACGGCACCATTAATCATGCGGGTCAACCAGACCCGAATGAAAACATTATGTTCCGTTTGCCATTATACTCTGAAGACGGACCGAGCTTGGTCTGAAACGTCAGATGTCCCTAATTAAAGAACATTTTATGCGTTGTCTTCCCGTTTGTGACTTATCAAATCATTATTTAACCTTATTACTTTTAATTTGCATTTCTGCACAAAGAAAGTTTATTTTTATGTTTTATATAAGGATTAATTGAATGATTTAATTATTTTGTGTTTTAGGCTACAGGTAAAAGCTTACCTAATGGAACTCTGTGTGATGTCGCCGCTCCGGGTTTTTTTCCGGCGGTAATGAAGACGTTGCGTAAAAACGGTCTACCCGGTTTTCTGCACGGTTTAGTTTCCAACTGGCTGAAGGTAATTGACCATTGTGCTTAGTATTTATGCGGCTGTATTCATTTTGATTCGAGAATGTCCGTTAACAATTTTGACGAGTGCTGCTTGCTTTCGGCTGATATTTAATTTTGTTATATTTTCGCACTGTGTGTTAAAGTTTACTCTGTTCATTTCATGGAGAGAGGGTAAGAAACAGATATTATATTTTACTCCTTTTACTCGGTAAATAATGTAAATTTGAGGTACCATTTCAAATCGGTCAGATATGATCAGTTTTCTTTACTTAGCTCCTAAAGATTTATTCGCTTTGGATAACGACATTTTTGGTTAACTATATTCTGTCCATTAATAGACAAAGATCCTGGTTAGCAAGAACCTATCGAACCACAAACAGATAAGTCTTGCAGTAAGTATTTGGCTGAAATCATGAAAATATTTGTTAACCGATTGTCCCATTCTTACGTTTGGAATAAAGGGTAGCAGCATGCCCAAAATGACTCCCTTGCAACGAAACATTCAAGTAGATAACCAGAAGCGTACGATTAGCTTTTCTCAGACTGTTGCGTCAGAGAACTCTATTCTCATCATGAATCGGCCGGCATTCTTGTATGCTTAATAACGTCAGGACATGGGGGAAACTTCACCGTTGGGAAGTTCATTGGATCGGTTAGAATGATATGGCATCCTTTCGCCTACCTCAGATCGCAGTCGCTTGCAGCCATGTGCTAGCCAGTAAATCTGCGTTCAGGTAAACCACTAACTTTCTTCTAGGTCTTTACGTCGCTGTTAGTTTACCTGGTGGCATTTTTTGTCTTCACTCCTTGCCCCAAAATTGCGAATTATGACCTGCTGTAGTACCAGTAGATCACTTTTGCGCCTTATTTGCTTAGTATAAATCATGTGATGCCCCAGTGTTCTGCAAGGGTGAGAGTCTTGACAAACCCTACATTGGAGGAGGCATTTCTTAGCATTTGCACCAAAAGGCTACTGCCTGAGATCGTATCACTTTGCCTCATTGCAAGTACTAAAATTCCATTGAACGTATTACATTATCCTACATTCGAAACAAAAACTTTTTCTTAACATCCAGCCAGTCAGGCCAGGCTTCATCTTGTCCCAAAGATAGACGAGATAGATAGTCGACTGCCACTAGCTGTATCCGCTCATATGTAACCTCATATGGGGAAGACAATACTGCAGATGTAACGAGGCCGCCAAACTATGCAAATCGTTACTTACTGCTTCGCTTTCTACTGAACAATAGAAGCAATCCACCGGCCAACGTTGGATGAGCTGGATTACCTACTGGAATGCAAATAGCATTCTAAGAACTTTCTACGCTGCTTTTTCATACAAAATAAAAGGCGACAGTATTTCGATCAGCCAACATCAGTCTTCGACAAGCCAAATAGCGATCTCAACCGTCAGCCACTAAGCTTTTGTTGCCATTTTTCGATAATCCCCCAATGGTTAGGCTATGCTTGCATCGTCTGTGGTAGACTAATCAAAGAATCCTTCATTTTCCAATCCTGCGAAAATATCAGCTGCGATATAGGATACGAACTCTGCGCGGATTGGACAGTCCTTATCAAGCCGTGACCCGTGACCCAAAAACCACTTAACCAGCAGCACGGGCCTAAAGCACACCTTCGGCTTCAGACGCCACAGTAACGGCA